CGGTGGTGCCATGCGGTCGCTGCCACCAGGGCCTTCAGTGGAGCCCCCTTATGGGGCCATGAAGCGTGTGATGCGTGTGCCGAAATGGGCGCGGTGGTACCATGCGGGCGTTGCCACTTAGGCCTTCGGTGGAGCCCCCATCATGGGGCCATGAAACGTGTGATGGGTGTGGCGACACGGGTGCAGTGGTGCCATGCGGGCGCTGCCACTGGAGCCTTCGGTGGAGCTCCTTATGGCGCGAAGAAGCGTGTGAGGGGTGTGCAGAAACAGAGACATGCGGAGGACATAGGCATGTGAGATGAGGGAGGAGCGGGAGGAGGAAAAGGAGAAGGAGGAGGAGGAGGCGCGGGAAGAGGAGGAGGAGGAGGAGGAGGAGGAGGAGGAATGATGAGAAGGAGCGCGGGGTGCTGCTTATTAAAACCGAGGTCCCAACACGACTGGATGGTTGGGAACGGCTCAGGATGAAGAACTGGTCCTGGGGGAAGGGCCGAGAATTCTGGGGACGGCGTTTTGCAAACAAGCAACATCGCATCTATGCAGTTGTCTGCTGCTCTGGGCCAATTTCTGGAGGCCTGAATGCGGCCCCCCAGGGGTGGGGCCGAGATGAAGGACAGAGCGCTGCGATTGAAACAGCCATGTCGTCGGAGGTCTGGCCTTAGACCCTCGACGTCATGCTTGGCGACGGCCCCCTTGAGGCCGACCCGTCGTGATTTGTTGCTCGGCGCGCGCGTATGTCTGGGGCCGTCTCGCCGAGGGTCTGGCAGCAGGCAGGGGAAAGAACAACGACATAAACAGAAGACCTCGGAGGCCCGCGCGGATTCCTCGGATCAGCGCTGGACCCCCCCTCCCTGGCGCGCGGAGAGCGCCAGGGGCGGCGCCGGAGGCGCCGCCGGGGGGCCCGCGCCGATCCGAGGAATCCGCGCAGGCCTCCGGGGTCTTCTGTTCATGTCGTTGTCCGTTCCCCTCGCAAGGGGAAGGCAGATCCCCGGCCGCTCCACGGCCGTGGAGCGACCGCCTGGCTTAGCCTTCCGCTCCCCAGCCTAGCCTTCCGCCGCTCCCTGGCCCGCTCCCCAGCCTTCCGCCGATGGCCGCCGCCCCGCGGCCGCGCCCGCGGCGCAGGCACGCCGCCGCCGCGCGCGGCCGCCCTCGTCGGGGCGCTGGCGCTCGCGCGGCCCGCGCGGCGGCGGCGCGTGGCTCGTCGCCCCCGCGGCGCGCGGGGGCCCCGCGGGGGCGCCGCGGCGGCTCCGAGGCCTCGGGGGAGGCAATGGTAATCCTGGGTCTCTCCTCTCCTCCTCCTCCTCCTCCTCCTCCTCCCCTCTTCTCCTCCTCCTCCTCCTCTCCTCTCCTCTCTCCTCCTCCTCTCCTCCTCCTCCTCCTCCTCCTCTCCTCCTCCTCTCGTCGTCGTCCTCCTCCTCCTCCTCCTCCTCCTCCTCCTCCTCCTCCTCCTCCTCCTCCTCCTCCTCTCTAGGCCTCCTGGATGGGGGCGTAGTAGACGGTGTCGGAGGGTCGTAGTATATGGGGTCGGGGGGGAGGCGACTACTCGTAGGAGTGACCTTTCACCGGAGTGACCTTTGGTGCGGGCGCAATGGGGTCCCCCGATCACCGATTGCGATTCGATAGTAGCGTCCTGCGCGCCTGAGTCTGGTCCCCCCGCGGCCCCCCAAAAGCCGCGCACCAAAGGTCACTCTTACCCAGGGTCACTCTTGCGTGTAGCCGGGGGAGGCAACGGTGATCTAGGCCTCCTGGACGGGGTCGTAGCAGACGGGGTCGGAGGATCGCGCGGCATCGCCGATGCTTCGGCGATGCATCCGCGATGCGGCTCGACGCGGGGCCCGATCTTCTCCACGCCGACGTCGCCGTTGCATCGCCGACGTGGCCGATGCATCGCCGATGCATCGGCGATGCATCGCCGATGTGTCGGCGACGCGGCGAGATCCTCCGACCCCATCCACTCGGACCCCATCGAGGAGGCCTCTCGGTAAGTGCCGCTGCCGCTGCCCTTCTCTCGTGCTCGCCGTCCGTGGGCCTCTGCAGGGGCTCGCGTCGCCGCGGCGGGCAGTCGCCTCTAGGTTTTCTGGTCGGGGCGCAGCCCAGGGGGGGGTCCTGGGGAGCAGCGGGGAAGAGAGTGGAGAACAGTGGCCTCGGCTGGTTACACGTAAGAGTGCTCCTTCGCCGGAGTGGCCTTCGGTGCGGGCCCAGTGGGACCCTCAGATCGTCGAGCGCGAGGCGGCAGTGGCGTCTTGCGCGCTTTTGTTTTGCCCCCCCCACCCACCCCACCCCACCCCACCCCACCCACGCCGCGGCCCCTGAAGAGCCGCGCACCCAAGGTCACTTCTACTCAGGGTCACTCTTGCGTGTTGCCGAAACACGGGAGCCCGCGCTCGAAATCTGGTGCTAGAGAAAGCAAGTGTTTGCAGACGCGGCGCGTCGAATCGTTTTTTTGTGTGGTGGACGCAGGGAAACGGTGTCGATTGTGCCGACAGTGACGCGTAAGCTCTCCGCGCAAGGTCGCGCGTGAGCGACCTCGTTTCCAAAGTCGCATGCCGCGCTGGCGGCCCGCATAAGCCACCGCGTAAGGTAGCTATGCCACTTCGCGGAAGACCCGTTTCTTTTCGTCGCCGATATTTTTGGAAGACGGATGCCCTGGGTCAGATCGGCCACGCTCAGGGGGGGGGGTAGGCAAGGGGAAGGCTTCTTAGAAGCACCCCGGCTTCTCAAAAGGCGCGGGCCTTGTCTGTACAGATGTAGGGCCGGTGCCTTCTGAGAAGCAGCCTCCCTCTACGAGGCCTTCCCCCTCCCCCTATCCCCCTGTCAGGGCTCGTTTCGATTCTTCCGATTCGATTCGATTCGACTTCGATGACCTCCGATTCCGATTCGATTCGACTGGAGTTTCCGATTTGGGTTCCGATTCTTTACTGGAGGCACACTGGCCTGCCGATGTCCGCCGACTCGACTTCTCCTGACTCGGCTGCCGATTTCCGCCGATCCGATTCATGTCGATCGCCGATCCGACGACTCGCTGCCTACTTCCACCAAGACGGTGGTGCAGCTCGAGTTAGAGCGTGGGAGCGCGCGGTGAAGGCTTGGGCCGGAAGTTGAAGGCATTCTGGCTGCATCTGGTGATTGGTTACTACGCGTTTCACCCCTGCTCACGCACCGTCTGGTGCAAGGCGTACTTGACTTGACTTGACTTGACTTGACTTGACTTGACTTGACTTGACTTGACTATGGGATCCCCTGCCCTGTGCGCGCCGCCAACCAGAGCGCACCCCGGGAAGAGGCCCGAGGAACGCAGCGGTGCCAGCACAGTACCCTACACACTGCCGGCCTCCCCCCCCCCACGAGAGGCGGGCGGGGGCGGCCGCGGGCGCGCCGCCAGCCGCCCCGGAGCACTACCACGCGGACAGATTCGGGGCGCACGCGGCGGGGGTTCGTGCAAGCGGGGGTCAGCCAGAGTTACAGTCAACCCGCAAAGTAAGGATAGGCAACCTTCCCAAGGGTACCCTCGCATCCTTGCCTCCTCGGTCCATCCTTGGCCATTTTCGTTGACCGTGCCCCGCTCGGAAAACTTCGAAATGAGTTTCCAAGGCCCTTGCATCCTTATCGCGCATCCTTGCTATACAGGTTGACTGTAAGTCGGGCATCTCCCTCCACAGGAGGAATCTCCCAAAGTAGTCGAAAATCGTCAGGGGACGATTTTGTTTGTGTACATGTTTGAATATGTTTTTTGCACATTTTTGTTTTTTTGTCCAAAGCCCGCCCCGCCTGCAGGAGGACATGCCCGACCTAAAGCCAGAGCTCTGATCCTGCAGAGCCAGGGCTGCACTGGCCCCGGCCAGCGCGCATGATCCTGCGGGATCCTGCAGGATCCTGCAGAGCCCGACTGACCTGGGGTTGCAGCGACCCGGGTCCAGTGGATCCCCGAGAGTTTTGGGGCGGGCGATCGAGGGGGGGGCAGTTGGGGGAAAGGTCGGTGGCGAGCGAGGGGGGAAGTGAGAAGGAGAAGGCCTTCTCAGAAGGCGGCGGGGCTTCTCAGAAGCCCTCGCGACTTCTGATAGTTTTGTTGTGCTTTCGGGGAAGGCTTAGAAAACTTGTCAGACAGCCCGGGGACTTCCGTGCCTTCTGGGGAGGCCTGCCCCTTCTGTAGCTCCCCCCCCCTCGCTCGCCGCCTTTCTGAGGGGAATCCAAGAGCCCGTTTCTTTATTGCTTGGGGCATGACGGGCGTCATGGCCCCCGCCCCCCCCCCCCCCCCCCATGACGCCCGTCATCGCCGAACATAAAGAAACGCGCTCCAAGATGGAGGTTTGGGACTGTAGTTCCCCCCCTAATTAGCTCGCCGCCTTCCTGAGGGGAGTCCAAGATGGAGGTTTGGGACTGTCTTCGAGTCCAGGGGGGGGGGGGCCCTTGCCGGGCCCCGGGGCTCGACTGTCAAACGACTGGGGACGGAAAGCCGGCCCCGGGGAACAAGTCGGGACTGCTGGGGGGCCAGCATTGAAAGGCAAGACATCGGACGTCTGGGAAGGGGGAGCGCCTCCGACGACACGATGTGATTTGTTTCAGTTGCTGCGTCTTTTTGTCCTTCGCTTCTTCGGCCTCCCAGGGCCGCTGTTAGGCCCCGGGGCCAGCAACTCTACCCTTCCGTCGGGCCGGTCCCTCTACAGGATCGTCTATAATAGTTAAGAATAGTATGGGGACGATTCTTCCACCATTTTTAACTACTTTTGAATCTTTTTAAACAGTGCCATATTTTTCGTCCAAAATCCGCCTGTATGGGATATGCCCGACCTAACTCTACCTCTGAGAAGAGGTTTGGAGCTCTGTGTCCGAGGAGTGAAACTTTTTTCGCCGGCGGCGAGGGAGAGGTGTACTGCAGCAGCGGGAAGCGGTTCGGGGCAACCGAAGAGCGAATTGGCCAGCATGCAGGAGAGGGGGACACGACAGGCAGAGCGGCCGTAGAGGAGGGGCGGGGTAGCGGGGGGCACTCAGATGTGGAAGAGTTCCACCCCGAGCGCGCTGGCGCGACCAGTTGCGGCAGCGGGGACCGCGGCAGCGGCCGAGCCGCGGCGTCGGTGCATCCACGGGCGCTGTCGATGCCCAGTACGCGGAATATCAGGAGCTAGGACAGTGTAGGCGTCCAGGAATGGGACGATAGGGCATTGCAAGTGACAAGAAGTGCAATCTAGGTTTCAGACTGCCAACAGCAAAGTGCTGTGCCCGCTGGGTGTGGGGCAGGGGCTGCGACGTGGCGCAGGGCCCACTGGCACCTCAACCAAGGGGAGCTGCACGCCAGGGGCTGCAGCGAGCGGCGCCATGGCGGCGTGCGGAGGAAGGGAGGGAAATGCGCGGGGGAAGGGGCAGGAAGGGCGAGAGGAAGGAGCGCCCCGCCTGAGGGGAGCCCCAGTAGGGGCTCCCCTGAAGGATTCAGACACGGATATCGGAAGATGTCTGTGCTTGCTGCGTGCTGCCAGTTTTGGCCTCGCCACCAGGCGCGTTCCTCGATGCGCGGTCGCTGCCAGCGGCCAGGTCGCCGGGAAAACCAGGCGAACGCAGTTGATTCGCTGACCCCCCGAGAATGTGCTTGTTCCACTCCACGGCCCCAGCGCTCCCGACCCCCTCGGCAGTTTGTTTGTTTCGCCCTGGACTCTTGCCCTATACGGCCCGGGGGCCGGGCCCCCCAGTGGCCGAAGTGGAGGAGAAACGCCCACACTGAAGTCGGGCAGGTCCCTCTATAGGAGAGATATTCAAAACACGTCAGAGAATAGTCTGGGGACGTGTTTATATATACACATAATTTTCACTGTAACATGGGTTTGATTATTTATATTGGTCTCCCAAATCCGCTGAAAGATAACAGGTCGTTGGAGGTCTGGGCCCGTGGCTCTTCCCCCCCCCCCCCTTGTCCGGCCCGAGACGTGCGGGGCACGGCAGAGGGCGGCGCGTTCTGGCGGCGCACCACGGACCAGAAGTGGGGCGAGTTCGCCGAGGGCGAGGGGGGCGCGTTCGACAAGGACGACCTGGTGGAGGCCGTCTTCACCGTGGACGGGGAGTGGTACTCCGGGCAGATCATGAAGTACGTCGGGGACGGGAGCTGGATAGTCATGTGGCTGGACGACTTGCCCGAGGGGTCGGAGGAGATCAAGGCCTCCACGGTCGTCGGCAAGAACATCAGGCACCCTGGCTGCCTCGATACGCCCGTTTCGAGACGCGACACGCACCGTGCTTACAACGTCCGTGTCAATGCGTTGGGTGTTGGCTCAGCGTATTGGCCCACGTGTTGGCGAACGCATCGCGCCAGGCCTACGTTTCCAGTCGACGTGTCGTGCTCCGAATCAATGCTCTGTGTCTTGCGTGTTGCGTATCGGGGCAGCCATGTCAGGCACATGTCGTACACGCCGGTGGAGTCCGCGGAGTGAGGCGGCCTCTGAGGCGTGCGGCAGGGTCGTCGTCTCCACCACGGCTTTCCAGAAGCCGACTCTGGACGGAGCCAGTCCGCGCACAGCGGACGGTCAGAGAGGACGCCAACCGAGCGCCTCGCCGATCCAGGCTGGGCCCATTTTTGGGACCACAAGCCTACTCGAAACCAACCGCAAGTTTTTGATGTTGATCGACGCCCGAGGCGCGGCCCGCTGGGTCAGACTTCTGTGTTTACAGTCGCCAGTTTCGGCGCGAGCATCGAAAGTTTGGGGTCCTGGGGCGCCGCCACGTCGCAAAACTTGCGATTGATGTCGAGGAGGGATGCAGCATCGGTGGCTGCGCCTCCCATCCCAGGCTAAGATGGCGTCTGCCGGGCGGGGGCTATGATCAGGATAACTCGCTCCAGAGCGCTCCGAGACGCTCTCGGAGCTTCCCCAGAGCACTCTGGAGCGGCCGCGCCGCCCGATGCATCCTCCAGAACCGCCAGGTTTCAAGGATCCCCGAGTGTCCTGGTCCTGGCCTCGGCCTGGATTGCACCGATCCTGGGCCCAGGATGGGCCTGGACCTGTGAGGTGGTTCCGTTGACGCCCACCGAGGGAGAGAACTTTGCCGTGCGAGGCCTGTCCGACTTGGGGCCCCTCGCCCCAGCCCGTCGCCCACCTGCTCTGCCCTTGCCCGTCCGCCTCTCCTCTTCCTCCTCCTCCTCCTCCTCCTCCTCCTCCTCATTCTCCCCCTCCTCCTCCTCTTCCTCCTCTTCCTCCTCTCTCCTCCTTCTCCTCCTCCTCCTCCTCCGCCTCCGCCTTCCGCTCCTGCTCCTCCTCCTCCTCCTCCTCCTCCGCCTCCGCCTCCGCCTCCCCCTCCTTCTCCTCCTCCTCCTCCTCCTCCTCCTCCTCCTCCTCCTCCTCCTGCGCCCAAGACCTCCCAGACTGAAGTTGTTCTAAAATGTTCGGCCTCTGGAGGCCGGTTTGGGAACCGGGGATGGTGAAACAACTACCCAGGACGAAAAGCTGGTCCCAGCGAAAGGGTCGAGAGGTTCGGGGCCCCGAGCCTCGAAAATATCGAGTCGTCGGGGGTGTCAGGGGCGGCCAAGAGTGATGACCGGGGGGGGGGGATGTCATGGCCCGGGCCATCCCCGGATCCAAGACTGCCTCCTCCTTTTATCTCAATGCGTCCCGTTATCTCAATGCGTCCCGTGCCCCCCCCCCCATCCCCCCCCGTCCGTGTCCGCGCATATGCCTTCGGCCACGGCTTGCGACCCCCCCGTCTTGGACGTCCCCCCTCCTAGGACGCTCCCGAAGTTGTGCCCCCGCCTCCTGCCTGCCGCCCCTGGGCCGCCCCGCCCAGCCCGCCTGCCTCGTCTCGCTGCTTGGGCGTCGGGTAGGGGTGGTAAATTCGGAGGTGGATAGACCTCCTACCCTGACACGTCGACTAAGTAAGGAATTGGCCGTTTTCGGTTCGTAAGAGGGCGTCGCGGCCGTCATTTTTGCGGGTCCAGGTCTGTCGGTTTCGGTCCCAGGCCGTTTTCACTAAGGGGAGGATTACTAAAGGGATGTTTGTCCACCGCAAATCAATGGGGGGGCAGCGAGGGTTGTACAAATGGAGCCCCTTAGGACTCCTAAAGGGGCCTTTTGTGGCCCCAAAGGGGGACTTTCGGACCCGAGATGTGCACCTCTCTTCCCCCTCATTCATCGCCCCCCCATTCAGCGATGCCTAAGCCGTGTGGTGACGGACCGCGTGACCTCGAAGTCCCAAGATACTTCACCGCGCGGTAAGTCGCCGCACGGTTTTGGGATTTGGTGGGCCCCGGTCGCCCAAGAAGTCTTCGGAGATCGACCCGAGTCCCAAAACCGCGCGATGGTTCCGAGTCCCGCCTGGGGGGCCCCGACAAGATCCAGCAGGCATTGCAGAAGTTGTTGCAAAGTTGTTGTCGCACTGGGCGTTACCGTCTGGCTTCTTGACCCGGGACCCTCACAGCTCGAGCCAGCCCTAAGAGCAGTGTACAGGGCTCCGGTCGTCACGTGTCACGATGTGGCATCTTTGACGCAACGTCGGGTCTCGGGGCTCCCGTCGTCGTCCCGAATGCTGCCCCCTCCCCGGGGTCGGGCGAACGGGGGAGGGGCGGAAGGGAAGGGGGCGGTTACAGCTGGTTTCGGTCCTGTCGCCGGGCGCCTTCCTCGATACGTGGGCGCCTCCGGCGACGGGCGCCTCCGGCGCCAGGTGGCGCCGGGAAAACCAGCCACGTGAGCTGGGTCGCCAAATTTCGATGGGGGGGAAGGATGTCCGTGTCCACGACCTCGCGGGCGGGGCGCCCTGTGCTGCGGCCCCGCAGACGCGGGGCGCTTTCTGCGGATGCCCCGCGCGGAACGTCTCCGTGAGGCCGCGCGTCCGCGGGGTCGCGCCCCGGAATCCAGACCGCGAGGGCGTGGAGATGGATACGCTCGCCTCTCGCGAAACGCACCCATTTGCGCTTCCCCCTTTTTGTCCGACTCGACCCTCCCTCCACGCCTCTCGCAGGGGCGCAAGCGGCGGCCCAGTCCAGTGAGGGCTCCGCCCCGGCACGCCCGCCGCCTCCTCGAGGCGAGTCGAGCGGCGCGCCCCGATGCAGGCTCCGTCCCGCCTGTGGTGCGAGCTTCTTGCTGCAGCCCAGGGGTGCACGCTGACGTATCACGCCGCACGCACGAAGCCTGGGTCGCAAGCTGGCCCGATGACGGTCATGAGCTTTGGCTCAGCGTGTCGCGCCGCCCGATCTGGCCCACCGCCCTTCGGCGCGACACGCCAGCCACCTCTCAATTCCCAGGCGTCCACTCCCCGAGCCGTTCCCGGCCCCTCGCCCCGCGGAGCGGAGCGACACGCTGTCGGCTCGCAGAGCAAAGCGCGTCGCCGGGGGCCGCCAACGCGACACGCTGAGCAAACATTCTGGACCGCAGCTGCACCGACCCGATGGGGCTCCAGCTTCTCCCTTTTGACCTTCTCGCGGTTGCTGGTCGCTGGGCGTCGCCCTTTGCCACGGCTGGGGGACGTCTGCCCAGGCGGGCGCCCCGTGGGGCTGCCTCGATTTCTGGAAATCAGCTGTGCCACCGCCCGCCTTTGTTGCCCCGACAGGCGATCGACACGCCGCTGCGAGTACATTAGAAAATGCACTGTGCAGTCGCAGCACAACAATACCACATACCGATCAAGGACAGTGAGCGGATGCGCGGTGGAGAAAGAAGGCAAAGGGAAGGGAAACGTAGAGGCGCCCGCGAGGGCACTGCGAGTGTAAAGCCCCCGTTCTCCGTCTCCCCTCCCCCGCTCTCCCTCTCCCATCCTGAACCCCCCTTCGACCGCCCCGTGGACACCTCCTTCGACCCCGCGAGCACTCCCCCCCTTCACTACCCCTGAGCCCGCGAGGGCGCTGAACGTGCAAAGCGCCCCGCCCTCCGTCTCCCCTCCCCCGCTCTCTCTCTCTCTCTCTCTCTCTCCCATGCCGAACCCCCCTTCGACCGCCCCGTGGACACCCCCTTCGACCCCTCGAGCACTCTCCCCTCCCTTCCCTGCTCTCCTTCCCATCCCGAGCCCCCCTTCGACCGCCCCGTGGACACCCCCT